CCTTCTTCCTCCTTCTTCCTCCTTCTTCTTTCTTCTTTCTTCTTCTTCTTCTTCTTCTTCTTCTTTCTTCTTTCTTCTTCTTCGAGATAGAGAGCAAGCATGCACAAGCAGGAGGAAGAAGAAATAGAGGACCAACTAATTGACACACAAGGGTTCAAACTTGACATGATAACCATCTCAAGAATACCTCCATTTTTTAAAAAGTGTAGAAGAACAATATATAATCTAAACAAATACGTCTCTGCAGACTGAGGAGGGCCACGGGGGACTCCTTAACCACTCAGGCAAGAGTTAATTTCACCTGCACAAAGCTCTGGGGGCCAGTAGTAATCTCAGCTGGAACTTCTCTGGGCTGGCTGTCTGGTGTGCGTAAACGATATTCGTAATCAGAGTGCCGGGTCCTCAAAGCTGGGTCACGATCCTATTCACTGACGGTACAGATGAGACAGTGGACATTCACTCATTCATTCAAGAAAGAATTATTGAGCTACTAGGTCTCAGGCACTGTTCGAGAAGGCAAGAGATGAGCAAATCAAATACCATCCTGGCCTTCGTGGAGCTTCCCATCTAGTAGGGGAGATACTTGTTAATCAGATAATCATGTATATTTTCTCTGTAAATACACATTCCCTCTCTCTAAATACACATTTTACAAGCTGTCGTAAGTGCTTAAGAAAGGAGAAGTATCGGGGTTATAAAGGCATAGAACAGGGGAGCCTGGGGCCCTCTCAGTCCGGGAGTTTGGGAAAAGCTTCCGAAAATGAGGACATGTCCTTCCCTCTCCTCAGCCTTTTGGGTAGGAGAGCTAGGAAATCTGGATTGCCCTACTGCAGCTGGGCAGTGAAAATGAGTCATTCCAGGAATTGTCCACCAAATAGCCACTTTTCTCACTAGTAGAGCCAAAAGCCCATAAGATTGCATTCTTGCTTTCCTGTTTCTTTCACGGCCCCTAGGAAATTGGCTGAACCAAGATGTACTTCAGCTGGGAGAGACTATGGATGGAATCCATCAGTTTGTGAGCACTAGGAGAACATAGCCCGTTCTCTATGCCCGTGACTGAGCAGCCAGGGCTGGCCTTGTTCTGCAGCACAGAGCCTCTCAACCTGTGTGCTGTGGGTACCCCTCCCTTCTCGAGATGGTAATTGGGTGGCCAGAGCCCCAAGACCAGATGTCTTCTATTTACTTCAGTATGCTGTACAAATACCATCCTTCATGTTTTCCAAGACAAACGTTGGACATCACTGCCTAGCAGATTCCTGGATGTGCCTTCTTCCTCCAAAAGCTCTTACAGTTTAGCATTCCTAGCTGTGGATACATCTGATGGGATTTTCCTGTTTCCCCAGCCTGCACAGATGTCTTCCAAGGACAGCTCTCTGGTGTGGATTGCTGTGAATGAAGACGGTGTCAGCATCCTGGACCACAGCACTATGGTAGGAAAGAATGAGGGCTGGCAGTCTGACCCTTCCTTCTCCTGAACAGCACCTTTTCTTCTCCTCTGTGGACTCAAAGAGCTGAGCTAAGTGACCATGGTTTCCCAACCCACCCTACCCAAGCCTTGCTTTCCTCTAGGCTAGACACAGCTTATAGACATTCAAGATGTAGATCTCCAAGTTAGGACCACTTCCAAGTTCTCCCTTTTTGGTTAAGGCTATTTATGCTTGGAATAGACAGGGGGTGCTGGTTCATCTCCGGAGGCAGGTGGGAAGTTTCCCCAGAACTGACTGGCTTCTTCTCACAGCAAGTGCACGTCACTTACCCCTACTCTTCAGTAATGACCTTCGGTGGCTGCCGGGATGACTTCATGCTTGTGATTAGATCCATTCCAGACCAGAGCTCTGGAAAAGGCCACATTGAGAAGTTGCTCTTCCGGATGGCTGCTCCCAAGGTGGGTCTGACAGCTGTTAAAACATGATACTCGGATCTCTCTAGAATGAGGAGGTGGGCTTGAAGTTAAGGAAGCTGGGTTATGACGGCCTCTATGAGGGCCCTTCCCCAGGTAAAACTCTGGTCTTGGCTGTAATCAGTCCTCCAAAGGGTTCAGGTAGGGCTGCAGCTCCGAGTCCCTGCCGAGCTGGTGGGTGTGGGGCTGGCTGAGAGGGCATGCACTCTGGTCCAGCAGCTCCCCTGCCCTCCACGTGGTATTTTCAGCCCCCGCAGCCCAGCACTGCACAGGCTGGAGGCGGGTGCCCACTCGCTGCTCTTGCAGCAGACCGGGGGCCAGGGCAGCCAGCTGCCTCCCCTGTGTGCTCTTCTGGCTTCTGCCAACACAAGTCCCCAGGTGGGACAGTCTGCACATGCTCCCCCTTCCTTACGGTCTTAAAGTCCATCCCAGAGACCGATTCTGCTTTAAGGGCTTTGTATCCTGCTTGGTGCAGGAGATACAGACTAGCAAAAATACAAAGACTCCAAAACCCAAGTTCTGATTTATAGTTTCTGACTCCCTTCTGAGGGTAAGTGGAAACCCTGTTGTTTTAATCCTAAAATTGGAGTTTCCCCAACCTCCTCCTTTTAATGCTGCCCCTGCCAAAGGAGAGGATACACAGACACTTCCTCCAGGGAGGCCCACTTCCCTGGCTTGGAGGTGAACAGAGTATCGCCCCTCCTGTTCTCAGGAGGGTACTCTGCATCAGTGGCCCTTCAGACCAACAGGCACCCACTTCACTGGGCCTCTGAACCTCCCAGAAATGATCCCCTTTCAACATTTTCTCCCAGGTATTTTTAAGAGATAAGAAACTGAAGCCCAGGAAGGTTATGCACCCAGTATAGCAGCTAGTATGTGAGAAAGCTGGCATGAAAGCCAAGGCAGGTTGAATTCCTTTGTTTCTGTTGTCTCAAGATTGCAGAGGCTACGTTCATCATGGCCAGCTACATGAACCATTGCTCCGTGACTGTGAACCCCCCAACAGCCCGCCCACTGCCCACCAGCTAGGGGAACCGGAATGACAGCAGTTCTTTGCTTCTGTTCGTGTGCTGCCAGAGGGCCAACGTTGCTGTGAATGCTTCTCCTACCCCTTTCCCCCCAAACCACCTGGTACCTCTCGGATTAGAGATCTGTATCCTAGGGTATGATACTACTGTGATGGGCCGGACAGCCCTCCCCCAACCCCGCCCTGTTTGTTCTATGAAATGTCTAGTTCAGTGTCCCTGAAGCCTTTACTCTCTAGGTGCCTTATGTTTCAGGGCCCAACTTTTAAAAATCCAGACCCAGTATAGAAACCACTTTTTTTCACCAGAATACTGAGCTCTGGATGCTGCCCGATTCTAGACACAGACTGGGATGGTCCACTGTTACTGGTTACTGAGGGCATCAGTGCTGTAAATCAAGGCTTTCTGCATGGATACTCTTGGGAAGGCCAGTATCTTTTATACTGTACCTGGTCCTTATGTGGGGATTTATACTTGAAGTTTTCCCAACATCCCCAAACAAGATAGGACTAAAATTTCCAATTCACCTGAACCGTGACAAAAGCCCAGAACTCATTAAAACTGGACTGCCGTTCCCAGATGGGAAAGGTATTGGCAGGGCTGAAGAAAAAGGAAGACTCACCTTTTCCCTTCCCCACTGTAAGAGAGCAGGCATTTGCAGTGCCCTCTGGGGCAGCAGCTCCTGTGTCTGCAGGACAAGGAAAGGCACTATCCCTGCTGAGATTGAAGCTATTCTCCCTCACACTGGACTGTCAGCCCCACTGGGTACAAGCAAGGGCAGGGGGTAAGTCCAACGTGACCTCTCCCTGTCTCATTTTAACCACTAGGGCTCAGTGAAAGCTGTGCTTCCTACTGTAGGATGGGGTGGTCGTCGCTTGTTTCCTTGTTCTCTGAAAGACCAAATGAATGCACCGGTTTTTGCCGCTTTGTGAGGCCACCAAAGAGGAGTCAGAAACAGAATCCAGGCTTGTGGGCCTGGATTTACTCAAGGCTTCTGGCGAACTTCCGCTGGGAATTAGTTCGAGGGCAGAAGGCACGTAGGCTAAGAGCATCCTGATGATACAAATACCTCCTAACCCCAACGGAGACCTTATATTGAGTGCAGAGATGATCCCTGTCTCCACCCTCCCCTGAGAGAAAACAAAAAGACGAAAGAGTTCATTCATACTCTGATTTTCCAGCATTGGAGAAACTTGAGTTTTATTTCATAGCTCTAAGGCAGTCTGAGCATTTGTCAATAAAGTGCTGAAAACTGTATGGGTTTAGCAGTAGCATCTAAGAACCAAGCCTTTGACTTCAGCGAAGTGTGTGTGTGTGTGTGTGTGTGTGTGTGTGTGTTGCACACTGTAAGAACTTCAAGGCTGGAACTGGTTATCTGAACACCTCAGCTGCTGTGGGCTTCCCCTCTCTCACCCTTTAAACGGAAAAGCATGAAAACAACATAAAGCAGCACATGATAGTGTCTGCCTCTTTTACGTGAACTTGACTTTGCAAGACTGGAAATTTTATAGCCATCTCTCATTTCTATTGCTGCCTTTCCCCCAGGATTTAGGAACTAGATGAGACATTTCTACCTCAAACAAGTCACACGTCATATGTACCACAGGCTCCAAACAACCCCTCCTGTACTGGTGTGAAATTACGGCTCTGGTTTATAATACCCTGAGTGTCTCCAGGCCCATGAGGATAATGTTATCCACCTGGGAGTTTAAAGAAAAAAAAAAAAAAAAAAAGAATTAGGATTCTAAGGAAAAAGCAAGCAAGGATGGAGCTGTGTTCACACTGAACTTGGGAGTCAAGCTATTTCCCCCACCCTATCTCCTTCCCAGCCCTTCAGGAATCCTCCCATAGTTTATTAATTCTACACAGAAGAAACTGCCTTATAATCAAAGGCTTCTACAGTTGGTATGTTTATCCTTTTTTAACATGTGTGGAAACCAAAGTCGAACTTCTGTCCAGCCTTTGGTGTCACCCCTCTTGGCAAAAGACGTTTTCGAAACCCTAGACAATGCTGACTAACAGCAGAGTATTAATGTGCTTGACATCCATGACTGCAATGCTGTGTTCATATTGTCAATAAAAAACAGCTGTGAACCAGGCAATTACTGTGTATGTTCTGGAAGGGGATCGATTTATTAAGACAGTCATCATAAATTAACTCTATACAGAACACAGAAGGTAGGTGCACAGAGACTGGTCTTTCGTAGGACATTTCTTCCTAGTCACCAGTACCTGAAGGGCTCGACTTTTGCACAGAGGTACTGTGTAGTAGGAAATTATGTTTCTTAAGAGATCTGATGTCAGTGTCCCATGTCTGCGCCACAAACTCTACAAAATGTAAACCTGCATGTGCTTAGGAATTTCACAAAGTGCTCTTTGTCAACGTTACTTTTGATATACCACTGCTTAAGGTCTCCCCTCAAACGATAAAGCAGGTAGAACCTTACAAGGGGATCACTAAAACAGACAAATACTTTGCTCCACATCACACAATGAGTTAGGTTTCCAGTCACCTGCTCTGTGGCTCTGAGCTCCACTGCATCCATCCTGGTTCTTAGAGCTGTGTCCACCAGATGGTTTATAATACAGAAAATAAACCAGCCACTATGGCTTAGGAGTCCTCTCCCATGGAAGACAATACTGGCCTTCTGAAATGCTGGGACTCATGGACTTGCTGATGCAGCTTTCTGGTGTGCCAGGATCTCCTGGCAACTCCTGTACACTTCAATCAAGCAGTCCAGGCGGGGCTTGGCACTCTGAATTCCAAAGGGAAGAAATGCAGAGTCAAGATGAACAAAAGAGAGAGCTTAGCGGTGCAGCAGCCACATGCAACCACAAGCTCTCCCCACAACAGGGGTCTAAACAGCTCAGGTGTGAGCTCAGAGAGGCAGGAGTTTGGGCCACACAGCATCTAACTGGCTAAGGAAGCAAGAGGGTAACAAACAACAGACCCTCTCGGAAATGTCACAAGCTGTGAGAGCCTTCAAGGACAAGAAGGGCAATTTAATATATAAATAGTAAAAAGTATTTTGTACAACGAAATGTGATACAACCAAAATTAAAAGTCACAGAATGGGAAAAATATATGTGGAAAGCATATTTAATAAAAGTTCATTATCTAAAATATGTAAGTTGTTACAAATATATAATCAATATCTAGACTTGGCTAATAGAGGAGATGGATAGTTTAAAACAAGAGGAAAAACAGGTAATTCAAGGAAAGATGAAAAATCTCTTTGTCATTTAAGAAGCGATTTAGAAACTTTAAATTCCCTTACCTACATACTAAAGGAAACAAATAATTAAACCCGCTGTTAGCCAAGACTGTAGAAAAACAAGTACAGATTCCCAAAAGTATGGTAAAGTCCAATCTCTGGAGCCAAATCTCAAACTGTAAAAATCTATGAAACTGTTCATAAGCTTTAATAAAATAATTTTGAGTGCGCCTGGGTGGCTCAGTTGGCTGAGTGACTGCCTTCGGCTCGGGTCATGATCCCGGACTTCCAGGATCGAGTCCCGCATCGGGCTCCCAGCTCCTTGGGGAGTCTGCTTCTCCCTCTGACCTTCTCCTCTCTCATGCTCTCTCTCACTCATTCTCTCTCAAATAAATAAGATCTTTAAAAAGTAATAATAATAAAATAATTTTGAACTGTAATGCAAAAGAATTTTAGCTTAGTAGTCTTAAATCCAAAGTGAGAAAAGGAAGGGCAATAAGGCAAAGTTAACTATATACATAAATAGTCTACATACCTATAATCCTGTTTGTGTATTTCGTGTAAAAGCAAGGCAAAAAATAGCCTGGAGATGATTTCAAAAGCTAGCAGTAGAGTGGCTAAATAAAGTGATACTTAACATGATAATATAACTATTTAAAATAATAATTATAATGGATTCTGTTGATGCATGAAAATATGTACATTTAAAAAGCAAGACATAAAAGGTGTAACAGTATGTGCAGATCAGTGGACATCAATGTATAAAATCATATATTGGCAGACTAACAAAATAGATGCATGGTGATTTACAGGCAGAAATTGCTATTTTTTTCTTTAAAATTTGGGTAAGTTTGTAATATTTCTGAAAGCCTGTATTTGCTTCAGAAAGAAACTTTTGAAATAACTAAAATCCTAACTTTGATTAAAAATAGCTGTCAGGGGGGATGCCTGGGTGGCTCAGTTGGTTAAGCAGCTGCCTTCGGCTCAGGTCATGATCCCAGTGTCCTGGGATCGAGTCCCACATCGGGCTCCTTGCTCATCAGGGAGCCTGCTTCTCCCTCTGCCTCTGCCTGCCATTCTGTCTGCCTGTGCTTGCTCTCTCTCCCTCTCTCTCTCTGACAAATAAATAAATAAAATCTTAAAAAAAAAAAAAAAAATAGCTGTCAGGGGGCACCTGGGTGGCTCAGTGGGTTAAAGCCTCTGCCTTCGGATCAGGTCATATCCCGGGGTCCTGGGATTGAGCCCCGCATCAGGCTCTCTGCTCAGCAGGGAGCCTGCTTCCCCTTCTCTCTCTGCCTACTTGTGATCTCTGTCAAATAAATAAATAAAATCTTAAAAAAAAAAAAATAGCTGTCAGATGTCCTCAAATACTCTTGGCAACTAGAGTTTACACTCCTACTGAGTATAAGTAGCAGTGGATATGCAGAAAACGGGGAAAGGTAATGAATTTTTCTGAAGAAACTTTAGACAACTGTTCTGTGCTCACCTGGAAGACAGGTACTACTTGAGATATCCCATGTGGTTCCACTGGGTCCTTCAATAAAATGCAGAGGTAGTAAATCACCTTCTGCTGTAAGACAATAAACCAAACAGCAGAGATCTAAGTGAAACTCACTTTGTTTTCTTTTTCTTCAAGGGAAGGCTAAAAGCTTTTTATAAGCAGTTATCTCTATTAGAACACTTGATTGCTTTTGAAGTGAAGAAAAAATATATTCTCATTCTCTAACGTCAGCAGCAACAACAATAAGAGGTGATTTTGATGGGTGCCTGGATGGCTCAGTGGGTTGGTGCCTGGATGGCTTAGTGGGTTGAAGCCTCTGCCTTCGGCTCGGGTCATGATCCCAGAGTCTTGGGATCGAGTCCCGTATTGGGCTCTCTGCTCAGCAGGGAGCCTGCTTCTCCGTCTCTCTCTGCCTGCCTCTCTGCCTACTTGTGATCTCCGTCTGCCAAATAAATAAAATCTAAAAAAAATAAAGTAAATTTTATTTTGAAGCTGGGCTTTTATTTTGAAGCTGGGATTTTGAAGCTGGGCTAAAAAAGTTGAAATGCTGACTCACTTTCTACGAAAACCTGCTATATCTCTGTAACAATAAAGGAATGGACCTTTCCAATGTAAGTTTCACTTTCATGGTTCATGGACATGCCAGCCAAAAAGGAAACACTACAATCCCAGAACCGAGTCTTCAAGTTTAATTCTTTGACATCAAGGTATTAAGACTCATTTTAGGCTACCTCCTCCAGAGAAATCTGTAATACTTACAACTTAACTACTTACCATGTAAATAGCCTCATTGATGACCACATCCTTCACCTTGCCCATCTCTATGAAGGTAGTGCTTTCTTTGCCAGAGGCATAGGATGAAGTCATCTGAATGCCAAGGGAGTCAATGATTAACAGAGTCTCCTGATCAATCTTGACAAAATGGAGGTAACCAAGCAGCCCTAGGAGGGTGATGAAGATGGCAGCAGAGAGGATCATGCTGTTCTGAAGAGAGAGCCAGACACAGGCGGTAAGATTACCAAATGGTCCTCCACACAGATCTCTGCTGTTTAACTGGTCCACTCCATGCAATGTGGAAAAAAGCCTGTGTTCTATGGTGAGTTGAAAAGATGGGAGGAACATGCATGGAGGAAGAGAAAATCACTTTTATTTTAGCTCTGCAGTGCTATGAAAGCATATGATGAAGTACATCCAGACAACAAATGGATAGGTGTAGGAAGAGAACCTCGATCACCAAAATAGTACCCACCATCACACCACTCTCAGAGGTTCTTCTTTCAAAACCGAAAATTAAGGACTCAGACCTTTTCCTCTCATGCTCCATCAGTGGAATATACAGTGCAAAAATCAGACAATACAATAATAAAATGCTTTAGCACAGTGTAGCAGACAGTACTCAACAGCCACTCCTCCTTCCTAACAGAACTTGGAATCATGATTGGTTCCCACTCCTGCCAATGACTGGTTTAGAAATGGACAAATGACACAACTCTGGCCAATACAAGAGGAGGTCTGCTGAAGGGGCCTCTGGAAAATGAAGCCCACCTTAAAAAGAGATCTAAGGAAGAAAAGGTCACTTCCTCTTGAGGTTTGATGCCCGAAACTACTATGAAACTACTACTACTCTGTCAGGCCATGTAGAAAGCCAGATTGAGGATGAGAATAACAGTGGAAGAGCAGTAACATGAAAATAATTAAAAGGCCTTTAAGAGCCTCTTATGCCCTCAAGAGCCCTCTTTCCTCCTGATTCCTTTGTTTAATAATAAAGATCACATCATCTGGAGCTCTTCTAGTTCTTTTGGGTAGTGACTAACTGATGTGGTAAGCCTGACTGAGTAGCTGAAATGACTACCTTATGTGTTAAAGGCTCAAAAAAGTGTATTTATTCCTTTGATTCTAAGACACATTTACAATCTTTCAACATTTCTGAAGTTGAATGTGTTTTTCTATTGATGTACATTTTTTTGTGCCATTCTTTTCTTTTCTTTTTTTTTTTTCCCAAAAAAGCTATTATTTAGAAGGATGGCACAGAGAAAAAAAATCACTGATGACCTAGAAACAAAACAGATTCAGTACTTTATGAATATCATTCCTCGATGGCAGAAGTATCTATACTTTATTACTGGTAAGATGCTCTCTCTGACCTAACCCTAATCACACTCTTCTAAACCCTCATCCTTGGGTGTCCATCCTTGTTAGGCCTGCATTGCTCAGCAAGCTGTACCAAGAATCTTGCTAAGTCGGTTTAGAGAGAATCTTTGGCCTCTGATCATTCTGGCCTGCCTTTAGCAAGAATCATGTCAAGTCAAGTTAGCCAGAATCCCCCTTTATCCCTGAGGTTTCTTTTCCATCATTTTCCATCCACCCCCCCACTGTGCTCCTTGGCTATCAATTCCCACTTGTCCTTTCTGTATTCAGAATTGAGCCCAATTCTGCACTGAGGTCACTCTTTCTCCTATTGCAATAGTTTCTGAATAAAATCTGTTTTTGCTGCTTTAACTACTGACTGCCTTTGGTTTTCCTTGAAAATACTTTTCTACTTCATTCCACCTAAAACACAGTAAGTATTTGATCAAGAGTCTGTTTGGGCCTGATCTATTTTTGTCTGGTCCACCCTGAGCTTGGAATGGTTTCACCAATTTTTAAATGGTTTAAAAAAGAAAGGAAAAGAAACAGAAGACTGAGACAGAGACCTGTAAAGCCTCAAATATTTACTATTTGGCCTTTTAAAGATAAAGTTTGCTGACCTCTGTGCTAGGTAATTACTTGTTGATTAATGAATGGAAAATGGAAAAATCTATGTGCTCGGTCTCTGATGATCCAGAAATATCTACTTTGAGTTAATTAAATGCCTAGTATCTAGTACAGTGTCTGGTTCATAGTCTGAACTCAATAAGCCTTATGGAAGAATAGAGAGAAATAAAATTCAGTCCTGGCCCTTACAGATGTGTAAGAGACAAAATTAATACACATAAGATATTTTTGGAGAATACTATAAAACTGGGTATAAGTACCTAAGAAAGGATTAAAAGAGAGAGCAAGAAAGACATCAAAGCACACAGGATATCCCATGAAGATTTCCAAGGAAGAAGGATTTTCACTGGTACAGAAGAGGTAGTGGTTATTGACAGATATACTTAATTGAGAAAGGGAAGAGGGAAAAGCATTCCAGATTGGAATAAATAAGGTAATAACCTGCAATTTTTTTTTTAAAGATTTTATTTATTTATTTCTCAGAGTGAGCACAGGAAGACAGAGTGGCAAGCAGAAGCAAAGGGAGAAGCAGGCTCCCGGCTAAGCAAGGAGCCCGATGTGGGGCTCGATCCCAGGACGCTGGGATCATGACCTGAGCCGAAGGCAGCCACTCAACGAACTGAGCCACCCAGGCGTCCCATAACCTGCAATTTTAATAGAACTGTGAATTTAAAAACCAGTTTGATTTGAAGCCCATGTTGCTATTTACTAGCTTTGTGACTTTGGGTTTTCTTCTAAGAAATGAGACATTCAGGAAAGCAGCTGGCAGTCAGGGGGCATTTAAGTAATTATACGTTCCCTCCTCCTCACATGACCACGTGACCAGAACACAGGCTAGTATTAAAATTCAACTACATTATAAATTAAATCTTTTTAAGGGGAGGGAGAAGGACTGTCTTGGCAACTTAACTACTTCAACTGACTTTTGAACAAACTTTTAGATATAGTTTGGTACAAATTAGAGCAGTCTTAATTCTGCTTATTATCTACACCAAATTACCATGCTCTGATCCTAAAAAAGCCAATGAAAACAAGATCCAAATTATAAATAGCCATAGCTCTGGTCAGATCACTCCTAGGATAGTATGTTCAATTCAGGGCACTACATACAAAACTAAACTCATCCTGAAAAGGACAATTAGGATGACTCCTTTTATTTGAGGGCTGTCACAAAGCTACTGCACGTGACCCTCACAACACTGTGAAGCTGGCATGGCAGAGAGCAATTCCATTTTAGACATGTGAAAACCGAGGCTCAGAAAATAGGAAGGAGGGGTGCTGGGTGGCTCAGTGGGTTAAGCCTCTGCCTTCTGCTCAGGTTGTGATCTCAGGGTCCTGGGATCAGCCCCAATCGCATCTGGCTCTCTGCTTGGCGGGGAGCCTGCTTCCCCCGCCCCCCACCTTTGCCTGCTGCTCTGCCTACTTGTGATCTGTCAAATAAATAAAATCTTTTTTTAAAAAGTAGGAATGAGTCTAGCAAGAACATAGAAACAACTCATCTCCAAAACTTCACAATTCTTTAGAAAGTACTTAAAAGTTGGGGAAGGGGTGGGGGGAGTAGATTACCTTGAAAAACAGATTAGGAAGAAATATCAAGCACATATTGTGGAGACAAAGGCAGTTCTTGAAGACTACAGGGGCGCCTGGGTGGCTCAGTAGGTTTAAAGCCTCTGCCTTGGGCTCAGGTCATGGTCTCAGGGTCCTCGGATTGAGCCCCGCGTCGGGCTCTCTGCTCAGCGGGGAGCCTGCTTCCCTCTCTCTCTCTGCCTGCCTCTCTGCCTACTTGTGATCTCTGTCTGTCGAATAAATAAATAAAACCTAAAAAAAAAAAAAAAAAGACTACATACGGTGCTGCTAGCAGTGACTCCTCTGAGGAGTGGAAGTGATGGATAAGGACGATCCACTTAATAGTTCTCGGAACTCCTGGAACTGAATTACCGTGGGCGTGTACTATGTGGAGCACATGCACGTTAAAGCCTTAGGTCGTTGTGCAAGGACTAACTAAATGTACGCTGGGTGGAACCGCAGCGCACCACCCACAAGACCCACAAGAGGGAGAGAGTACAGGTGTAAAAACTTCACTAAACGTTAAGAAAACAACTGTCCAGCGGCGGAACCAGCTAGTTCCCGCCCTCGGACCCAATAACAGGAGGTCCGGGCTCGACCCGATGACCCCAAAGACCCTTCCAAACCCCAGCACCCGACTCCGACCGCGGAAAGGGGCCGACCGGCAATTACCTCGCAGAGGGTGAAGAGTCCGTAGGCCGCTAGCCACACGGTGCAGGTGACAGCGGTGAGCGAGCGCAACGACAGCCGAGGGCAGCTGAGGCAGAACTCCCGGCAGGACGGGGAGTAGTAGCGGCGCTGCAGGGCCAAGCGACCGCCGCAAATATCCGAGAAGCTCTGCTCGTCCTCCATGGCCCGATCGCCCCCTTCCCACCCAACCGCGCCGCTCTAGTCCACCCGCCTGCGCCCTCTCGCCCGTCTGGACCCACTTCCGGGGAGCGACGTCAGACCCGCCCCTCCCCGCCCCACGCTCCGCGCAGCCGCAGCTCCGCACCGAGACACGAGGCGCGGGTTCGTTGGCGTGTGTTTCGTGTTTCCCGGCTGGGCTGTGTTTCTGCGACTGACTACTCGGAGACTCGCGGGGGGCTGACCCAACCGGCCGATTAAAACCGCTGTTAACGCGCTTTCGCTCGGCAAACCGTTTTCTATTTCTCAGCCAGAGTACGCCCCAGGGAGACAGTCCGCAGGTACAGACTCACTCCAGGCTCCCGCTCACTCACGCATTCGTGCGTGCACGCGTGCATTCCTGAGCCAGGCGGTTTTAAGTGCTGAGGATACAGCGCTGACCAATGCGGAAAGTCTCTACCTTCAAGCAGCGTCCTTCCTAGTAGAAGAAACAATATGGAAGTAATTTCAGAGAGTGCTGCTGGCGATAACAGGACGGGCAGGGGTGGCTTGGGGACTTGTGATAGGGCAGTCAGGGAAGTCTGAGGACACTGCACCTGCACGGACGAGAAGCCAGACTGGTCTGGGAGAGCTCTGCAGGAGGAATTTGCCGGGTTGGAGGGCCAGGAAAGACAAAGCCCCCGAGGCTGGAACAAGGTTGACTTCCTGGAGGAATAAAGTGGCTGACGAAAACTGAATGTGGAAGTTGGGAAGGTAGTTGCAGGGCTCAGATCCTAGAAGGTCTTGGGCCTGGTAAGAAGTTTGGATTTCAGTGGCTGGGAGTTCTTTCTTCCCAACCGCTGCTTGGAGCATTGAGGTAGATGAGTCCTGGCTAGGAGGTTAGCAAGAGAGGAAGATGCACAGGGTGTGGATAATAAAATTACTAAGCTCGTGAGTAATAGCGGCCTGTGGGTTCTTTATTTCTTTTTCTTTGGATGTGGCTTAAAAGTTGCTTGTGGCCCGTTAGAGTTACGGCGCTTCAGACCGGAGGCAGTATCTTGTATGAAAGAATGGCTCCCTCTGTTTATACAGATAAGTGGCCTAACAGTCTTTGCAGCTTTAAGTCTCTCTGATGAGTCAGGTTCCATTTTTCCATCTTCATGCCGGATTTTGTTTCCTTTTTTCCCCCCAAAGGATATTCTTCAAGTGTTACTTTGTTTTTCCAATTTTATTTCTATACCCTTAATCTTACCAAGCAATAGTGTAAATAACATGTGATGTCTTAAAATTATAAAAGTGATGTTTGCTTATTGTGGAAAATTTGAAAAATACAGAAAAGAAGAAAAAGCCACCCATATTTCCACCACTCAGAGAAACACTGTTGATGTTCTGAAGAAATCTCCAGTCCCGGAGCTCTTAACCTGAAATCCATGGATAAAATCAGAAATTTATCTTTAGTTTCATTATGTCTTAATTAAAATTTAACCTTTTTTTTTTTTTGGTTATGAATGCAGGCAACAAACCAATTAGTACTAGCAATACTTGTTACTCTGATAGAAAACGCAAATATTTTCATTTCACAATAATTGTTATCTCCAAATGTCATTTCCACTCATCACTACTTCAAAATTGCAGTAATTATTAGACCCACTTTTATATCTTACTAATCTGTCAATAGAGACACATACAACACATACTAAAAATATTTTGATAACTATTTTAATTCAGATGTTTTTAAAATCCTATGTATTGTATTCATTTTAAGACATTATGGTGATAAAGGTTACCAGATTTACAGAGGGTCTGTGACACAAAAAAGGTTAAGAACCTGAGCAAGTTCAGAAGGTTCACAACTATAGATCATAGAAAGAGAAAAAGGCACTTAATGTACTTAATTTTTTTGAATATTAAATGATTCAGGGTACATAGTGTGGTAATATAATTCCAAAATCCTTATAGCTCCTTTGTTCTTTCAGATCACAGTGTCATCTTAACTCTGTTCTGCAGTTTGAGACCTCAGTAGAAATTGAATTTCTATGTATTTGCCATTTAGCTAGATGCCATCCATGAAGTGATAAGTTCTCATGAATATGACCAAATAAAAAGGGCAAGAGGGAGGGGTCCCTGGCTGGCTCAGTTGGAAGAATATGTGACTCTTGATCTCAGGGGTGTGAGTTCAAGCCCCATATTGGGTGTAGAGATTACTAAAAGAAAATAAATAAGCTTTAAAATAAAAACAGCAAGGAGTGGTTGTTTTAGCTCTAAATGTTGGATTTCAAAGTATTGATAAGCCTCAGAAGTTCAGTAGAATATATCAGCAAAGAAGGACAGCTGATGAAAAGAGCTTAGACTTACCAATTAGCAAGTTTCTCCAAGAAAGTTTATGATCTTTTTGTAGGGTCACAACCAATACCCTAGTGAATTCCATTGTGGAGAAGCAGGGAAAGGAAGCTCGAGAAACATGTGTACTCTGTATTTATCAAGATAGGCTGTTATTTTAAAAACAAAACAACAAAAACACAATTTCAGAGGCTGAGCACAAGTGTTTAGTTATTACCTCTCTGTTCCACTTGGATGCTTGTAGTCAGTCAGATGCCTTAGAATTTCTGCCAAGAGGTTATTTGGAAACCCAGGCTTCTTCCAGATGGTGGCTTCATGATCCCTTGGGACCTTGTCATGCTCCTCTCCATTGGATCCTCTGTATCTGGCCAACAGATGAAGGGCAAGAATGGGGGATCATGCATGGGAGGGTTTTATGGCCAAGCCTTCCACCCACATTCCACTGGCCAGAATTTATTGACTTGCTTATATGTAACTTCAAAGGAGGCCGGGAAACATGGTTTATCGGTATGCCCAGAGGGGAGAGAGAAATGATTTGGTAAGAACAACTACTGGCCCGCCTTTGCTACATTTTCCAAAGAATACTGGCTACAAGAAACAGAAAATATATTTGAGAGAATTGAGCATTATGGTCATAGTACACAGAACTAATCTGACTTACTTTTAGTAAGATGGGTATTATTTCTACTAGTGAAGTTATTCTTGGAATGAGTATCTATGAACATGAATAGTTAGAAAAAAAAATCTGATCGAAGTGCCTGGGCGGCTCAGTGGGTTAAGTGGCCAACTCTTGATTCCAACTTGGCATGAACTCAGGGTCCTGGGATCCAGCCCTGCATTGGGCTCCACGCTAAGTGGGGAGTCTGCTTCAGATTCTCTTTCCCTGTCCCTTTGCCCCTCCCGCTCATGCTCTCTCTCTCTCTCAAATAATCTTTAAAAAAAAAATAAAAAAAATCTTAAAAAAAAAAAAAAAGGGGGACGCCTGGGTGGCTCGGTTGGTTAAGCAGCTGCCTTCGGCTCGGGTCATGATCCCAGCGTCCTGGGATCGAGTCCCACATCAGGCTCCTTGCTCATCAGGGAGCCTGCTTCTCCCTCTGCCTCTGCCTGCCATTCTGTCTGCCTGTGCTTGCTCTCTCTCCCTCTCTCTCTCTGACAAATAAATAAATAAAATCTTTAAAAAAAAAAAAAAAGGAATCTGATCAAACAATTCGGTTAACTCTATTTTTATGGCCCATGCTGGGTTCTCAAAACTCTTTTACAGAACCTTCATTTTTAGTATTTACTTGGACTTAAAGATTGAATAGTTGTTCTAAGAATCCTGTTTCATACTGTAGTTTTTATTCTATTTATTATTTTGTGATAAAGCATTAATGACTGCTGCCGCTGTGTTAACTGAAAGTAGGTCTCCTATTTAGGACCACTTAACAACTGGCATGAAGAAAGCAAAGGCCCATATAAATGAAAAGAAATTCCAAATAAATAGGTTTATAAAAGGATAAATATTTTCCATTACATCTCATTTGTATAAAAAGCCAGTGAAAAGAACTTATAAAACTTCTTGCAATTTAGTAAAGTTGATTGAGAAAATAATTCCCTTTCATTAAAAAAAGATAAATCTAACACATTTCATCTTTCTAGGTGGGATACATCACCCTCCCGGTATGTGGATGTGTTCACCAACCTGGAAGCTCTCCAGATCTCATGTTTTGGGGATTTTCTTGAGGTTTCATCATGTAGCCACAATGAATCATTAACCCTAGACACCATGGAGTGGCACTGGGGGAAGCTGTTACCACTCAAAAGGGATAAAATCCAAGCTCTGCACTCAGTCTTCTCTGCTACTACCCCAGTAGCAGGGCTGTAGCTCCTCCTAACAGCCCGGTGAAGTAGAAGTCTAGGTTCCCCAGCTGGCAGGAGTGGGGAAGGGATGCTTTTTTTTTTTTTTTTTTTGGTAGTGTTTGTCTGTAGTTGGTATGTCTAAAAGTTTTCTGTCTTCCTGGTTTGCTCCTTACTTTGTTCTTTGGCTAGAGAAGGCAGGTTTCTACAGAGCATTTCCTGGTTGCCATTTTCTCCAGCCCCCAGTCTGGGATATATAAGGCAAAAAGAAAACCCAGGGAACACACTGCTGTGTCATGGTGAGATCTCTAGACCATTGGCCTCCGTCTGTCCACTTTTCAGATTCTTCTTTTGTTTGTTTCACATAAGATGCCCAAGGATTTTATCTATTTATTTATTTATTTATTTATTTATTCATTCATTTAAAGATTTTTATTTATTTGACACAGAGAGAGCACAGCAGGGCAAACAGGAGAGGGAGAAGCAGGCTCCCTGCTGAGCAGGGAACCCTATGTGGGGCTTGATCTGAGGACCCCGGGTTCATGACCTGAACTGAAGGCAGATGCTTAACCGACTGAGCCACCCAGGCGCCATGGATTTTATTTTATTTTATTTTTTATTTTTCTAAAGATTTTATTTATTTATTTGACAGAGATCACAAGCAGGCAGAGAGAGAGGGAAGCAGACTCCCTGCTGAGCAGAGAGCCCGATGCAGGACTCAATCCCAGGATCATAAGATCATGACCTGAACCGAAGGCAGCGGCTTAACCCACTGAGCCACCCAGGCGCCCTATTTTATTTTTTTTTAAAGATTTCATTTATTAGAGTGCGTGAGTGGTTTAGTTGTTAAGCGTCTACCTTCAGCTCAGGTCATGATCCCGGGGTCCTGGAATCAAGCCCTGCGTCGTGATTCCTGCTTAAGGAGAAGCCTACTTCTC